GTTTTTCTTTTTCTTTTTTATTCTCAACCAGCTTTAGCTCTGAGGCTTGCTTCCAGCTCTGAGGCCTCGGCTGCTGAAAGCAGGTATCTGGTTTGTTTGGGTTCTATAATTGAAACTCTGTATGAACTCCAGCTCTGAGATCCCAGCTTGCTGAAAGCAGGTTTCTGGGGTTTTGTTTAGCTTCTATATTTGTAACAATGTTTCAAATTGCAAGCTCAGAGGCCGGCAGCGGCAGGCGGGGAACGTTGGAGTCCTCCGTCACTGAAGCAAGCACGCCTCCTGTTCTCTTTAAGCTACCTGGCTGCCGGCCACCATCTTGGCTGGCAGTAATTTGCTTATCGCCCTGATCAGCAAATGGGAAGGGTAGTGGATGTACGGCTAATTACCATGTTTCTCTTTTATTAGATAGGATCATCATCATTATATATTTCCAAAATTTTTCATCACCCCAAACCAAAATTCTGTAAAGAAGTAACTTGCCATTCTTCCTCCCCCCCTTCTCCCTGGTAACTTCGAATTCACTTTCTATCTCTAGGAAGTTGCCTAATCTAGATACTTACATAAGGGGAATCATACATTAGTCCTTCTGTATTTGGATTATTTTACTTAGCGTAATGTTAAGATTCATCCATGTGGTAGGCTGTGTCAGAACTTCATTTCTGCTTATGGCTCAAATTCCATTGTATATATGTACCACATTTTGCTTTTCCATTCGTCTGTTGATGAACAGCAGCTTTTACCACTTGTCAATCTCAAGCATTAAATTAGGAGAGTTTCCAAGTTATCAGATTTAAAATATCTCAAGGCCTTTCCCTTCAAAAATCATTAGGGAGAGGTTTCCCTTGCCCCATTAATCAGTCATATTCAGTATAAGATCATATTTCTTATTTTATTGTATAGTTTATAATTCATTAGTAACATTAATGATTTTGATGCTCAACTTGTACCAGACTTGAAGGGGGGCACCCCTTCAGGTTGGCTCATCCTTTGACATGTTCTCGTTATTTTTTGAGTACTTCCTTACTTCTATGCATATGGTGCTCCAGGCTCCTCTTGAGCTTTCCCTGCCCCAGGCTTGTAATCAGCAATTTACCCAAGGAGTCAAACATGTTTTCAGTATTTGAAATATTCTTATTTGAGAAGCATGTTTTAAAAATAATTTTTATTTATCATGTTTAAAAGATGTCATTTTATATTTATGTAATTTTATATTTAATGCCAATTAATTTCTATGGCCATTTTATTTTTTTTAAATATATTTTTATTGATTTCAGAGAGGAAGGAAGAGGGAGAAAGAGATAGAAACATCCATGATAAGAGAGAATCATAGATCAGCTGCCTCCTTTAAGTCCCCCACTGGGGATCGAGCCCACAACCCAGGCATGTGCCCTTGACCAGAATCAAACCTGGGACCTTCCAGTTCGCAGGCCAACGCTCTATCCACTGAGCCAAACGGGCTAGGGCTCTAGGGCCATTTTAAACATTTACTTACAACTCATTAAATCCCAAGAGACCCTGATCTTGTGATCAAGATTCTCCCAGTTAGTCCGGCCGGTGTGGGTCAGTGGTTGAATATCGACCTATGAACCAGGACGTCACAGTTTGATTCCGCTCAGGGCACATGCCTGGGTTACAGGCTCAATCCCCAGTGTGGGGCATGCACATTACTCTAGTTTTTAAGAATATAAACTAATGAGGCTGGCAAAGGACTAGAGTATTCACATTTAAAACAAGGTGGTTTTCGAACAACACATGTAAAATAAAACACATCTTAGTAGTTTTTTAATCTTTGTAAATACTTTATTCTGTTTCCAGGTCCAATACTGAAATTCACAGATTATTTTAAAGTCAACTAATATATAGCTAATTGAAGTAAAATGTACAAGAAGTTTATGTGATATAAGATACACATGAAGAAAACCTGATTTGTTAACTTAATTTGCTCTACTAGGAACATCAGGGCTTGCAGAATTGATACTGGCCTTGTATATCAATTACTTGTTCCTGTAAATTATTGTTGACCCTTCCAGAGGGCATGTGCTACTGTATCTAAGAAATCAGTAAATAACTAGGCTTTCCATTTTATCAAAGTACAAAACATTACTTCAATCCTAGGCCTTTCTTACTGAGTCCTATATCTGTTTTCTTAAAAGTATGCTTTCTTTTTACAAAGTTTGTTAATGAGATCTTAAGAAATTACTGAATCATAAGCAAAAAAAGGTGTCTTTATATTACAAAGGAAATCAATGAAGACTTAAAAAGATAAACATCTGGTATTTAAAAAAAATCCAAATTCTGACATTCACAGCAAAATTCCCACATGATCTTTTCCTAAAAAAGACCTTTTCCAGCTTGTTTCCAAACTTCTTTTACTCCTTTAATGCTTTCTTTTTTCACACATTTCCAGTATTCCTGAACACTTAGTTGTTGTGGTACCTGTTAACCAAAAGTGAAAATTAAGGGGTCATTCTCTTTAAGGTTAAACATGATTTCAGGTATGTACTGTTACTATTTATCTCCTATACTCCTTCAAAATCAATTTGAGGTGGATTATGTTATAAAAAGTGATTGCAACAGAACTGTAGAATTGATACTAGCCTTACAATAAGGGTAAAAATAAAAGTGAATGTGTTGCAAGAATATCCACAGGAGCCCTAGCCAGTTGCTCAATGGTTAGAGTGTCGGCCTGAGGACTGGAGGGTCTTGGGTTTAATTCTGGTCATATATCCTGGTTGCAGGCTTGATCCCTGGCCCTGGTTGGGGCATGTGCAGGAGGCAACCAATTGATATGTCCCTCTCACATTGATGTGTCTGTCTCTTTCTCTTCCTTCCATTCTATCTAAAATCAATGGGAAAAATATCCTCCAGTGAGGATTAACAAAAGAAGAAAAAAAAGGGGAAAAAAAAAGAATGTCCACAGGATAACCAAGGAATGGAGAGATTTCTCCCTCATAAGAAAGGGAAAACTTTGATTTTTAAATTTTTTTATTTTTAATATATTGGTTTAAAAATGTAATTATTTAATGTTTTTCTTTTATAACATTTCCCCTCTCCTGGTGTATTTTATTTAGCTATGTAAAATAAAGTAAGCCTAAAATTTTGGTTTAATCTTGGCTAAAATTAAAAAGAAACTATAGGTCACAATATATTTGATGAGAAGCCTTAAGAAGAAATAATATAATTCATCTTAAGTATTTTGTAAATTAAAAGTACTGTGTGGTTGCTGTGGCTGGTAGTGGTTAGAGCATCGGTCCATGGACCAAAAGGTCACGGGTTTGATTCCTTGTCAAGAACATGTACCTCAGTTGCAGGTTTCCCAGCCCCAGTAGGGGGAGGTGACCAATTGATGTGCCTCTCTTACATTGATGTTCCTCTCTCTCTCTCTCTCCCTCTCCTCTCTCTGTCTCTGTCTCTGTCTCTGTCTCTCTCCTTTCCTCCCTCCCTTCCACTCTCTAGAAATCAATGGAAAAAATATATCCTTAGGTGAGGATAAAAAGAAAAAGTACTATGTGGTTATTATTTCCTTTCAACTAAAGAAGAAAGTGAAAGTTGGACAACACTGGGAGCACAGGAGCATAGCACTAATGGAAATCCGTCAAATGGAAGCAAAAGTCTACTTTAGGTTATGCATGTTTTTTTTCCTATCATTGATTTACAGCTCTTCTCTTTTAAAAAAAATATTTTAATTGATTTTAGAGAGGAGGGGAGAGGAAGAAAAAGATAGAAACATCATGATGCCTGATAAATAAATAAATATAAATTAAAATAAAAAAAAAAAAAAGATAGAAACATCAATGATGAGAGAGAATCATTGATTGGCTGTCTCCTGCACACCCCCTACTGGGGATCGAGGCGGTAACCTGGGCATGTGCCCTGACTGGGAATAGAACTGTAACCTCCTGGTTCATAGGTCAGTGCTCAACCACTGAGCCATGCTGGCCAGGCTTACAGCTCTTCTCTTCAATGTTTTTTGAGAAATGATAGAGACTCCTAGATATATTAAATTGTTAACTGAAAAGGTTGGTTTAATCTCCAGGAATATGATTATTAACTATGAGATACTGGATGACTACAAAGCTTGTAAGACATGTTTGCTAACTGAAATCCTATTTCTTAATTTTCTATAAGTAATATTTGTGGCAGGAAATGAATGTGATTTTCTAAATTGTAAATAGGTTTTTTTCTCCCCCCCCTTTATTGAGTAAGATATTACAAACGTGTCCTTATCCCCCCAATGTCCCCTCATCCCCCCAATCTTGCCCTCACCCTCACCCCCTGTTGTCCACATCCATCACTTATGCTTATATGCATGTATACAAGTCCTTTGGTTGATATTTCCACCTCACCCCCACCCTCCCCTGCTTTCCCTCTGAGTTTTGCGCATCTGATCAGTGCTTTTCTGTCTCTAACATCTGTTTTTGTTCATCGGTTTATGTTGTTCATTATAATCCACAAATGAGTGAGAGCATGTGATATTTATCTTTCTCTGACTGACTTATTTCACTTAGCATAATGCTCTCTGGCTCCATCCATGCTGTTGCAAATGGTAGGAGTTCCTTCCTTTTTACAGTTGCATAGTATTCCATTGTGTAGATGTGCCAAAGTTTTTTAATCCATTCATCTGCTGATGGGCACTTAGGCTGATTCCAAATCTTAGCTATTGTAAATTGTGCTGCTATGAACATAAGGATGCATATATCCTTTCTGATTGGTGTTTCTGGTTTCTTGGGATATATTCCTAGAAGTGGGATTACTGGGTTAATAGGTTGCTTTTTGTTAACCCAACATATTTTCTCTCTCTCATCCTCTCTTCTGGCCTAACTGCCTACTTACCATGTGGTCCTCTTTGGATCTGGGTTTCTACCCTGCACGCTGCCTTTCTAAGGGGTTTTAGCAGATTATCTATATTAAATTTTAGGTTTGATCTGTCCCAGTTATAGACCAATATGTGAATTTGAGTGAATCTACACTAATAAAAGAGAAAAATGATAATTGGCGTACGACCGCTACCCTTTTCATTGGCTAATCAGGGCTATATGCAAATTAACTGCCAACTAAGATGGCAGTTAACTGCCAACAAAGATGGCAGTTAATTTGCATATGTAGGCACAATGCAGGGAGGCGAAAGGAAAGCAGGAATAAGCCCCCTGCCACTGACAGTGATCAGAAACCCAGGGGGGCGCTAAGAGCCCCCGGGGCCACCTTTGCCCTGCCCCCCAACCATGATCGGAGAATC